TCCCTTCAGATCTCTCAGCTCTGACAGAATTATTTGTTAGAGAGCATTGGATCATGCTAATTGATCCATGGATCTCATTCAGCTATGTCCTGAAAGAAACCAGGATATCGGGTTCAACAACATGACTAGGTTGCATTTTCCATATTTCCCCAACCCTTCGCATAAAACAAAAGTAAAATATAAGCAGTTTAAAACTTCTAAAGGCATCCTACAATCTCATGAATAAAAACTCATTCAGATTAACTTTTACAAGTGAGAAAATAACTTGTTTACTGTAGACTAGATAACTTGCAAAAAAGTCCCTGCAGGGATTATAAGGATTTTTTTTTCTGAAAACTGCTGGCACAAGATTTTGTAGCCAATCTTCAGTATGTTGAGAAATTAAATAACTAGACGTGTTTGACAATTTAATCTAGTTTTTTTTTTTTAGTATCAGATTTTGGAAAGGTTGTAGGTATTCAGCAGTTTAGTCACTGTAGAATCACTATACTATACTAGTGTTTTACATGCTTTAAGTGGAGTCAAGATCAAGTGATCTTAGGTTCAGAACCACTTATCGCTTCTGCAGATTGCTTCAGTGAAGTTTATTCATGGATGTTGAGAAATGAATGCACAAATCTTAATACTTTGCTTTTCATTCTGGAATGTCAGCTGTCACCAAAGTACCTTTGTAAAAAATTACATTAGCTTCACTGACTTATTTTGTTAAACGTATACTAATTGACTAAGATAATGAAATACAGTATATAATAAGAAATAACCATTCCCAATTCCACACATATCGGTACTTCAGTAGTTTGTGTGGTTTTATATTTAGTTTTTAACATAAACAAAATACAATAATGCATCTCATCATTTTTTCACACAAAACTACCCCACCCCTATATGCAGCTAAGATTGGTTCAAAATTCAAACAACTTTCAGTGTTTGTCAGTCTGAGGTTAAAAGAAAGGAAGCACAAGGTGTGTAAGTGTAGCTGCTGTAGCTTGTTGTAGAATGAGCGAAAGTAATGTTAAGTTTTAACCCCTAAACATCATGTTTGTATATTTCAAAAAGTCACCCTGTATTTGAATATGATTCATTTATTGTGTCTTTGTGGAGTATTATGCAAGATATATAATACACATTACATAATGTATATAATATACAGTACATTAGGGTTTAACATTCGCAAAAGGCAATGACAAGCTGAACATGACTTTCCAGGCTCACTGACAGCTTTATTGCCCTTTTCATTACAGTGGTGCATGCTAAACACATAGAGAGAAAAAGTGCAGGCATCTGCTGGGCTTAGAGGAGGGATTCATGTTGTTAATTTGAACTGATTACTATAAGTTTGTGATTACTGTTGTTTCTTTTAGTTGTTCAACATTATTTTAATTCACTTTAAGCCAGTGCATTAGTACTTTAATTATTATATAAGGGAGCATTATTTATGTCTTTTAAACATACATTTACCGTATATACTGTAGTACTGTACATCATGGACTTGATGGGGTGGACTTGATTATATGCGAATTTGGCTATTTAAAACCATTCTCAGAAACCACAAGAATGTCGAGACACTACTGTTTATAATATATTTTAATAATAATTCTTTCTTGCATGTTTTATTCCAAAAGATCCCATAGCCCTTAACATTTAGGAAGGGACCAGCTTCATCCAGCACCAAAATGCATCACTTAATGTGGGTAACACACGGGACTCACAATACACCAGCAGGCTCAGTAATCAGCAGCCGGTGAGGTGGCTGAATTAAGAGAGGACATTTAAGGAGGCTAGATTATGAAAGTTCACAGTGGGATTAGACAAGACTCTAGGTTAACATCCCAACTCTGTTGAAAAGTGGGATGTTTAATGAATTTGTATCCAGAACCATGGATAACTCCTCATCTAAGGGGTGGCATTTCTAATAGTACAGTACTCATTCATCTCCATTTGGGGCATGTTTATTTTTCCAGAAAATTCTGGTGCAGAAGGAAAAGTGCCACCAACCTAATGGACATATATTTAATTATAGTACATTTAGGTTATTGCTGTTCTTTGATTTTTTTTTTACAGATTGTAGGTCAATCTGCCATATTCATATTTTTTTAGGTGAATTCTATAATACCAATCTGTATTGTGCTGACTTTTTTTTCTTTTCTGTGTTGCACAGACCGATTACATTCTCTGGCATTCCAGTTTTGATGCATGATTTCTTGTGAAATTGTGTTTTAAAATCTTTAAAAAGAGATATTGGGGGAAGAGAACTGTAGGGAATATTGATGACGTTTGATTTTTCATTTGTCTTTTTTACATTTATACTTTCGTTTGTGACATAGCAGAACATTCAAGCAGCTTAATTGCAAAGATCTGGGTGTTATATTTAGTTTACAGAAACAGATACAGATAATTTAATCAGCAGAATTTTGCAGGGCTCTTTGCAGAGCCGAATGTGGTGGGACTAGAAGTAGGCCAGATTTTCAAAACTACTTTCAGATACATCTTGTTCACAATAGAGTGCCAGAAAGGGATTTTTCATTTGCACAGTGTTGGCACTTAGTTTTTATATCTCATGTGGAAGAATGCATCCCATCTCACAATGCTTTTCACCAGGGTACTTGAGCACAAGTGAGAAATTTCTGCTAGCTTCAGAAAATGATTTTCAAAAGGAAATCAAATTGCATTGCAACACGTCTCAGATTTTACAGGGTGAAATGCAAAATAACAGTGGATGTGAGGGATAGGGGAAAAAACAATGAGATGCGCACTATTCATGACTGCTGTTTAATGACATGTATATTTTTAGTGTAAACAAGACCTAGTTTTGCACTGTTTCAAATGCTTTTCCGTACCGTTGTTTGTCAGCACTCAGCCATAACATCATTGGATTTTTTGACATACTGTTTTATACTAACTTTAATATTAACATCCAGGAGAGTTATACACATTTTTGTCGTATACACAAGTTTAAAATATTACCTTTTGATATGTCGTGCCCAGAAAGCTTATTCAGGCAATGCAACGCTGCTTTAACATTTTTTTATGTTGTAATTTATCAAAAGAAAGAACAGTTATTTGTAAGATTAAAGTTGTAAGTAAGGTCTTACTCGAGTGTCATAAAGCCTCAGCATAACGTCCCTGAATTTAAATTATACAGTCTTTGTGATATACCCAAGAACTCTCTGCTTCTTTATTGTCTTCAAGATTATCCCACATTTTGTTGATGAGAATATAGAAGAAACATAAACAGACAGATCCAATTTGTGTGCAATGTCCTACCAGAATCACCTATTTGATACGTATAGTGTATCGTTCTACTGTCAGTGTGAAATTTAATTTACCAAATGTCTGCCCAGCCCTTGATTGCTGTAATTGCACTGCTGCTGAGAGCCGCTTGCATCTGCCCGTCTGGTAGTTGTGGCCCCTTTGTGAGTATGCAGTGTTTGCCGTTCCTGAACCATGTATACACACACTTCCGTGGATCCCTCCATCTCTTATTTTGTGTTTCTGAGGGATTTCATCAAAAGCCTCCTTGAAATCTAAAAATATAGATAGATAGATACTTTATTGATCCCATGAGGGAAATTGAAGTGCAACAGCAGCTTAACACAGACAACACAGCAACAGTGTAACGAATGATACAATAATAACAATACAATACATACAATACAATCAGTACAGTGAGAAGTGCACTAAGAAGAGTTACTCACAGTCCAGAACACACAAAGAACAAACCAGAACAGTACACAAAAAAGTCGTATTGCACAATATAAATATAGATATACATCATACCATGTAATATGCTATACTGTTATCTGCTCTCCTTGATGGTTGTTTGAACCAGTCCAGCAAATTACATAAACAACACTTAACCTCCTAGAGCCATTTTGGCTCCTTCCACAGCTTTACCAAAAATAAAAGTAAGACAGAGGTAAAGATTTTTCTCCTGCCTTCCTCCGCCATGCCATCACTTTCCCATCAGAGCCAATTAAATAAACCAAGAAAACACCATGCTGGCCAGATGGCTCTCATCTGGTTTGATTTTTTTTTTAGGTTCAAACTAATCACCTTGTGAAATGTGCCAGTGAAGGGGTTCAGTGTAGAAATCTGATCTTAGATCCATGCTTCTCTCTCTTGCTCTTTATGCTGATACCTTAACACCATGTTCTTCAGCTAACTCTTGTACAGTGCACTGTCTTGAACTGGGCAACAAATCAATAGGTTTTCTACTTTAAACCAAAATTATTGTATAAAAGACCTATTGAAAACTATATGAAGCCCCATGGAAATGTTGCAGTTTGCAAAACATATAGTTCTGTGATTGTGTTGTGTAGCATTTCCTGTTGTCAGATTAATATTTGTTTCTATTTCATTTCTACACTTTTTAATTGGAAGAATTCACTACTTGAATCCTCAGAAGTATATATGTTTCAACTTTTTTAAACAGTAATCGACAATATTTCTGTTCAAGCACGTATAGGTTTGTGAGTCTGTTGTCTATTCTGAAACTAGGATGTGGGTTTGAAGGTATCACATGTCTATAGGTATGGAATGAAATTAGATATAGGAATATTGCAGATTGTATGCTTACTTCAAGATACATAGTAGATGGTACTTTCTAACTTTACATTTAGTAGTATAGTAGATTTTCTGGATGATTGTACTGTGTCCTGCTTCTTAACATGGTTCTAAAAAGCCTTTAGCATTAAAGCCAAGATAAATTCTGATTTTAAACAACAATGTTAATTAACATTAAAGTAGATAAGTAGATAATAAATTATGTTAAACAATTTGTTTTCTAAATTACTTTTATAATACCTTTCTTACTGGTGAAATGTTTTTTACAGCTTTGTAGTGAAAACCCCACTAAAATCTGCTTAGGTTCCTACAGATAGATCTTAATGAGGTGGCGTCCCACAATTAATGGGCAATGCAGAGCAGATATCCACAGAAACATCCCTTTCTAATTTAGCATGATTTTTAATCTGATGAGATGTCAATCCCTTATGTTTCAGGTTTGAAGTTGAATATGTTCTCTCTGAGCCTTCAGCCGAATGGAAAGGCAAACGAGGAAGAATTGAAACATCCTTATTGTCAAACGTCATGAGCAGAAGTAATAACTCAAAATGTTTTGTCTGTGTCTGTGGTCCAACACGTTTTACCGAACAAGCACTGGGGTAAGTTTTCTTGTTTTTTAAGGGGGTAATAATCTTCTACAACTTTTAACAGGTGCAGAAGATAAATATGGATAAACATTCTTACCAAATTCTATTTCTAGTAAATTATGTGAGAAAAAATCTAAAAGTACTTATAAATTCCGATATAACTGGATTAGTAATTTCAAAGTTTAGATTAGAACCTTAAACATTTTTCAACCATTTTCTTGATTTCTGGTTGTTTGTCTCAATTTCACCTTTTTTAAGTGTTAAGTAGGAACCATGAGAATTACCTCAGAGAACCATGAGAATTATCAAATATGATAAACACTTTTCAAAAGGAAGGAAAACGATAACCAAAATGTTCCAGAGTAAATGGATCTGATCTTATAGAGCCAGCAAAATGACCATTTCCTCCAAACTCATAAGCTGCTTTAATGTTCAGATTTCATAAAATTGAAAGTGTCTGTCATAGCCCAATGTGTTATTCTGAGGTGGGCATCTGCCAATCAGAACTGAATACTGCTAGCCAGGGAACTATGTGTAGATGCAACAGAATTGCACCATGAAATCTCAGCAGAATCCACAGAAAAATCACCCTGCATGTTACATATCTGAGAACTCATGTAATACACACAGTTTGCCATACACAGTACTATACATAGCTAACAAATATTATGGAAGCGGTTTAGATTTCCACAATGGAACAATGATCATTACACCAATGGTTCTGTTATTTGTATACAGGTGAGTCAAGGTTCTTTGTAGACTTTCTAAACTAACATCCTCTGTCATTGGTTTCTATGTATTGGATAACTACTGTTTATGGTACAGCATTCCTATGACTCACATAATTTACTTCCACGTTTGTCTGGATTTTGTGACCACTGTAAACTACTGAGAAAACATAATTAAACATTAGGTCTAGCATTTATTTTATTTTTTGTTATGGTGCCAGATTTACTAATATGACAATGTCACCTTAACCAGCAGTGCCTCTGGATATGTTTCTCTGAACACATTTGGGAGCCTCCAACAGACATCACTAACTGTGTCAGCTACCCCCACAAAACCTGCCTGAGCTGATTATGTGAAAATAAATGGAAATAGACTCCTCTGGTATACTGCCAAGCTCCATTGCTCACGCTGGACACATGCATTACTGGCATCATATGAAACAAAACTTGTCACTGTTGTTAATGATTACTTTTTGATTACTTTAGTTGTGTGAGCATTTTGAATCTGGGGAGTGCTACTGCCATTACTGCTGGGAGTTTCACTACTCAGAGTGATGAGTTTAATTTTTCCTCTCACCGAATTAATTTATATTAGTTGGAAATACTCTGCTACTTATAAGTCGTATGGCACAACCCATTTTATTTAATGAGTGTATTAAATATAATTGAGGGAGTAGTGGTAGGTGGACAACTAAAAATTACCCATGATTTTTTTAAAAACAATTACTTTTTCAAAGTACAAACCAGCAGATTAAAAAAATACAAATTATATACACAGTCCCAAAAAAGTAACTGCTTTTAATGGCAAAAAATGGTGTATTATTGAGGTGTATGATAGACAGTATCTTAAAAATATTGCAACGGTGCATTTGTAAAACATTGTGTATACTGCAATTAGCCATATCTCTGGAGTTTGTGTATTTGTCACCATGACATTCTACGGGGTTGAAAATGCAAGTCAGTATCTTGGCCAGCATTAGCATTAGTGACTGCAAAACATCTCTGTCTCTTTTCGACCATAACATCAGTGTGGTCTGGCTGTTGCAAGGGCCATTATCATTAGAGACACTATGGATACACTTGGATACACTGCTATCCAATATGTATCCAATAAGCTTATACCTGTTACTGACAAATCCATGTCATGTGGTGTTTATGGAAGTTCCTGGAAGTACAGGGAAACAAAATGAACACTTAAAAATGTAGAAGGTATTTAATTGAATTATTTAAGCTATAGCTAAATTTTAACTTATCAACACTACAGGCCAAAACTACACTCAAGGTGAGGGCCGAAGATATAGTCTGAGAAACAGTAACCAGCTGGCAGACTGCTTCTACAGTGCCCTCTTGTGGTGTGGAGGGGATCTGATCTCCTCTTCCCTTTGCTTATTTGTTGTTTAACTTATTAGCATGATATCATAATACCGTTGTTACCAATACTTTTTTTGTAGGAAATCGAAAAATCTATATATGTATTTTGTTTGAAGGGGAACATTATTTATGATGCAGATGTTGATTGAATACGAATGGAAAATAAGTTTTTTCTTTAAAAGTCACTGTGGAGAGTAACAAGGAGGAGTAATTACTGTACCAAGACTAAAGCCAAACTCCCAGGCCAGATAGCAAATTTTCTAGCCTATCTTAGAAATGTTAGAGCATTTTCTCTGTCATTGTCACTGGAGAAAAATAAAACCTGTTCCATGATTTATTCTTTAGCTGGAATTATTGTTGTATTTTGCCCAAACACACTGCTGTGTAGATTAGGCTCCTAATATATACCAGACATTTGGAATTACCAGTTATGTCATTGTGTCTGAGCTCAGTGTGATGACCCCTGTACCCAGGGAGTCCTCCAGCCTGCCCTCTCATTGACCCATTCATCTTTTTGACACATTGCACTATATGGAAGAGCCGTGTCCACCACTGATGTCATTACAAGTCTGTGGATGTCAGGCAAAGCCAAGGGGTAACCGTTTGGCCAGGAGCCTAAAGAGCCCTGGCCAATTAATTCCAGCCCAATCCCAGGCAGCATGCCACTGGGAGTCTGGCTACCACTAGGGAATCCAAATCACGGATGGAATATTGACGTGACTCAGACCTGGGCACACAAAGTCTGGAACATGGAGTTCAACCTGTGCTTGTGTAAGCCTCATTACTGGTTGGGGAGCTCTGGAGCCACACTGAAGTTTTAATGAAAAGGTTTTTTTTCTTGTTTTTTCTTCATTTCGTTGCATTCTATGTTTGGTTTCTGTTTTTTTTATCTAGGATGCTGCAGCAACTTGGCTACTGTGAAGAAGAGATCCACGCTTTTCAAGGATAAGGGCACTAATCTGGGCAACAGAAACCTCAAAATATGTATCGCAAAACTATGCTTGAAGTACTTTTTTCTATGCAGGGTTAAATACCAATTATTTTGAACAGGAAGTTAGTACTTTGTGATGTAGGGAAACAATATTTATTTATATTTCATGGTTCCTAGACTGTTGTTGTTACCGAAAAGATAAATGAGTGCTGTGAAATTCTAACTACAGTAGTAGTAAAAATGAATTACATTTTGCAGTATGTACTCAGGTTGATTGTAATTCGTTGTAATAAAGTACATTTTATTGTGTTATCTTTTATGTAAATGTATTTTAATAAAACGTAGGGACCAGTTCACTTATTACAACCATTCCTCAGAATTCCTAAATCATAATTTTGTTAGAAATAGCGGCACTTTTTGGTTGGACTGCTGTTGTTGCTTATTTCTCAAATTGCTGTCACCTGGATGTTGAAACATATTTATCTTTAAATTCAGTCATGTACTGTAGGTTAGATATGTAGTGGGTACACCTAGATCCATCAACAGATTTGTTGGTTTTGTAAATGACATCTATTCTTTTATGACCCTTTATTTATGTCACAGGTTTTGAAAATTGCATTGATTTCACAGAATGAGTATTCTATATACAATATGAGTATTGTATATACAATATGCTATCAGCCTTTTTTTCTGTAGAAAATAACACTCGTAATACAGAGCTCTGCACACATTTGTGCTTTATCATCTCTCTAAAGAAAGAAATCAAGCAGCAAGCACGTCACTGGAATGGGAATTATTTTCCCTTCATTTTTCTCTATCACTGTGCAAAAATCATGCAGGCTGTAGCCCACATGGTTCATCCAGAACTAAACATGAACCTTGCTGCTATTGTTGAAGGAAGACTAATCTTTGTATGAGCAAATCACAAATCAAGGTCTGTTGTATCAGAGAAACAGTGCTATAGTGCAGCTTTTAGTAGATGCCTGACAGGCTTTTTATTAAAATACATGAAGAAGCCATATTGTTTAGTTGTTTGATAAGAAGAAATACAACTTATAGAGCTGGAAAGTTTATTTTTGTATTTTAGTGAAAATGTGAGAAAATAGAATTATAGAGGGTATCACTTGAAAACATTTCTTTTAAAATTACCACTCAGTTTTTGGACAGGCTTGTAAAGGTCAATATTATTGTTGTTTTTATAATTGTTTAATTACGAATATTGCTGTATTGTTCCGAAGACCCTGAAAAATATCTCAAAACTCATTCCTGTTTCTAGACCTTCTTATCTTCCATTCATATGGCTTGAATTGGAACGAGATCCATTCATTTTTGAGGCCAGAGGATTCATATCATCCTCAGTGTTGTTGTTCATTAGTCAGATGATTCCTTGCTGTTATGGCAGATCTCTTTCATGTTGCAAAGTGGAACCTTAATCTATGAATCCATAAACCTTTTTAAGGATAGTCTAGCATGGTCAAGAAGTTGGTGTCTGCTAGCATTTTTCACCATATTTCATTGTTGGATGCATCATTTGCCCCTACTGCCAAAAGACTCAAATTAAGAGTCATCTCAGCCCAGTTTTAATTAATTAGTTTTAGTCATCTTTAAACCCAGTTGCATATGTCCAAGTGAGGATATTCTAGTAACAGGGAATACTTTCTTTTCAGTATTTTTTTAACAGTACTGTAAATTTCATTTGTGTGTTTCTATAGGACCATAATAGATAAAGTTCATTTAAAAAGATCTCTCCTATTTCAATTAAATCTTAATTAAAATGAGCCCTACACGGGGTAGAATTTTTTGTTTCATGTTGGTCCAGATGTTTCCAGCATTAGGTTTCATTAATTCATTTTATTGCCTAGCAACTCTCTGCCTACTTGGGAGTCATACTCCCAGTTCTCATTATTGACTCACCATCTGAACAATCTGGGTTTCCAAATGATTTAGGTCAATGCTGCCTTCTTTAATATATGACAAATATTGCAACGTTATTAAAATCAGCCAAAGAGCTCCCCATTTTGGCATGGGTTGCAGATATAAAAAATACATTATTGTCAATGTATTGCTGCTAGTTGATCTTTGGCAAGGCAACATTTTATTACATTTTTTCCCTCATTTTTATGAAGGCTTTATACAGGATGGTATAATGTGGCTTTAGAAGCCACTTAATTTCAGTTCTCTTGAGCATCGTATATAGGAGAGCTTGCCTCATTCAGATTACTTTATTGTAATAAATGACAGTATTGACAGCTTTTATTCTGCCTGACAATAGTTTGTGTGAATGCTTGTTTTGGGTGTCACTGAAAGGTCATTTCTCTTCAGAAGAAAAATGCTCTGTTAGGAGAATCATTACTAACACAACACACAGATTATTTTGTAATAATAACATGCCTGCCCTACATCCTTTTAACGAAAATCTATATGAAAATCAGTTTTCTTATATATATGTTTGTGTTCTGACGAGGGAATGAGATGTGATTTAATCTCTACTCACCGTGACAATGCCTGTTGTGTCTGGGCTGGGTGAGGGTTTCGTAGCTTTGGACTTGAATCTCATTGTGTGACTGTCAGTTTGTAACATCATCTTAAAAATGTTAGGTTTTTATTGGTAGTATTTATTTCATTAGTGCTTCATATTTTGTGTCTGTCTATTTAACTGCTACAAATAATTACAACAAGAAAATCTTCTTCATGTACTTCAGTACTTTCTGATATAATCATGGCATTTTTATACTGTAAGTGACAGGCTTAGAAGAACAATCATCATATGTTTTCATTTAAAATGTCTGGCTTTTTTCACAGTTTTCAGATCACAAGGGTTTCATGGCATAAACTGAAACACCAACAAAACATATTCACTGATCCTTTTCCTTTTTGAAACAAATGATGCAATATTTAAATGTTATCTGCCAATGTTATGTGTATAGATTTACTTTCTTGGTTTGCTATATATTTTTAGAATTGCTATGCTGTAATTTAAAAAATAAGTTGTTTATTTATGTTGTACTGGAAAGTGGGAAATAAATTATTCATACTCAAAGGCGCATATGGTGACCCTTAAAGATTTTAATGATCATGGTTGAGTCATATAGCCTATCTTTCATATTGTTCAAATGTAAGGTCCAGTTAATTAAGTTCATTCTTTAGCATATTATTTTAATCTATTTTAATGTATTCACACTAACAATTACTGTAAATGAGCACCAATTATCCTGGGTTTTTAACTTGCTTGCATTTTCTAGCTGCTGAAAATATACATTACCCAGATAAAAATAATAAAAGGCCTTGAGTGCAGATGTATCCTGAAGAGTTAAAGGGTACAAAACCACAGTGTTTTCCTTATTTTCCTATTTTCCTCAAGTATTAGATACGGTATGTATTTCTGGAGGGGAGGAAAATTTATCTAGGTGACATGTATAAAAGAGATTAAATCGTGCTATTTAATACAGCCTGTTATAGGAACACCCTCCTTAAAAACAATCCTTTCTCAGTTTTACACTATGGAGTATCACCAGCTGGCTTGCACATACTCTTGATGCCTGAAAGAAAACGAAAACATTTGAATGTGAATATTAATGGAATAGACCCCAACATCTACTGTATATGCTTAGAAGTTACCTCTGCTTTGTTCCTGGTTAAAGAGCCATAATTATATGACTAATTATAATGAAACAATCATCAATAAAATTATAGTAAATGGACCAAAACGCATTACACACTGCAACCTATGGTATGGTATTATAACGAGTTCTTAAAGGCATCTGTCCAGCTAACACAGAGAAAGTGAATTGTGCATATAGAATTCCAAAGTGTTTCCTGCATCCCAGGCACTGTGTACAACACAGGTTATAGCAGACGTTCAGTCACAAAGGGCTGATCCTCTGTGATGCTGTAAGTAGAACTGCATGTCATGAACATTCCTTTCCCATTCCTCGTCTTGTTGCATCTTTCCATTGTCCCCATCGTTGCCTGTGCAGCAGCTCACTGGCTCATTCCACCTTGTGCCACTGGTCAAGCTATTAGCTATTGTTCTTTTAACACCAAATCCTGGTCTCAGCTTGCTTCTGTTCTTATAGGGTGCTTGCAGAACAGCCATTATTGTCAGTTATTGTTCGGTACCAATGGACGCAGTCTTTACTTGAACCACACTTTTCATTTCATACATGTTCTTTACAGTACTGAAGAGTATAATCAAACTGGGTTTTTTTTGTAAAGACTGAAATTCTTTCAACCACCATGGAATTATATATTAATTATACTGTATATACTCACTTGCGAAAGTGTTTGAAAAGTATTTTTGGAGTAACATTTCATAAAGGCCACATGAATAACAACCTTTGTCCATCTCCATATTCTGCTTCTCGGGTCCTGAACTGTCGTATGTTGTTGTGAATGAAATGAGATATGATAGAACTGTGCAGCAAAGTCTTTCCTTGAACCCTTTAGATTGAAAGGCACCATTATTCTGTCAGACATCCTCAATGTGAAGCGATTAATCGAGAGCTGCCATGGGCCACTCAAATCTAAAATCCAGAGTTTAGTGGCATAGCCTCTAAAGTATATGAGGCTTTATTGTGAAATTCCATCTCAGATCAGCACACGGTTGCTCAGATTGATTTCAATGTTCTTTACCAGTAAAACCAAATCAAAACAGGAAATGAGTGTAATGAATGTAGAAAAAAATGTTTCTGCCAGGTTTGTGTAAATATGAGCAAAATTAGATGTTCAGTAGGGAGGTTTGAAATGTTCAAAAATAAGAATGTAAATGTGAATGCTACTTTTTTTTACCTGAGGGGAATACAATTATATAAAACAAAAACAAAAAGTTTTTTTTTGGCTCGGCAGACCAATTTTGCCACCCCATGTTTTTTATCAAGTGTACTCACTACTTTAATGTTAGGATGTGCTTTTGCACACCAGTATTCTAAACCACTTTTCTGTAAAGCTCTGCAGGCTTGAATCATTTATCTTCTTTTTTATTCTCCTGATAATTAAGGTTCCTCTTGTGATCTCAGGTCTGGCTGTTTGGCATCAGCATATCCTGAATACTGAATGGCATGAATTCATTTAGAATCTTGCATTCCGTGTTTGAGCAGATGTTAATGGAATTGGACAAGACTTCATGTTTGCTGTTGTAAGGTTACAGAGTCCTTATAGATAAATTATCTGTCTCGCCATCTCCTCAGCTCAGCAAAGTAAATGTTTAGCTGTGTGTAGTTTCTCAACAAAATCAAGATCAGTCTACTTGGGCATGAACATATGAACGCGGGTGTCAGATGTGTTTCTTCCTCTGTAAGATCAATAGCACTTCTGTAATATAACAAACAGCTCAGGTTTATTGTCTCTGGTGAATTACTATGGTTAGTGTATCAAATGATGGATGGGTAAACATTCTGATACTCCAAGTTTCAACCCAGTACTTCTGTTTTTTTCTTTAAGGAAGCCAAGTTAGCAGCTTCAACAACATTCCTCAGTCAGTTTGTCTACACCCCAAAGCCCTCTGCATAAAGAAGTGCCTTCTATTCTCATTTGAAATGCACTTTTACATTGCCTTATTCAAGGAATAATCCTATAAAGTCTTATCCAAATTAGTCAACAATGCTTTGTTTATTCATATATTTACCCTTTACAA